CCCATCCCACGGTGCTGCAGGTCCTGGGTGAGCAGAGAGGCTCTTTCCTGGCGATGGTGCTCCACGGCTCCAAGCCCAGCCCCCTCCATCCCAGCCTCTTCCCTGGAATGCAGAGCCCCCCTGGGCTGAGCCCCCAGACAAAGTGTTGACTGTACGAGCTGCATGTTAACCGCTTCCCAGCCACCCTCCTGCTGCAGCCTCTGCTCCCCGGCACCCGCTCAGCCCCGGGGGCACCCACTCCCTATGCCCCTGCCCCTGAACAGGCAATTAATCCCTTTCTCCTTACCCAGAGGAGACCCATCGGATGCTGGGATGCCCTCACTGTGCCAGGCAGGGTTATGGTGGGTTATAGCTCACAGTCCCCAGCCCCACATTCCCACTTGCTCCAGGCTGCAGGAGCGGGACAGGGAGCCACGGCTCAGACATCCCATTGGGATCTTCCCACCAGGGCTGCACCGAGCAACGTGTTGTGGGGTGTCCCAGGGGAAGGTGCTCCCCGATCCTGCCACCTGCGATGCTGCAGGCAGGCACGGAGCCCAGCGGGCCAGCCCGGCTCCCACGGCCACCCACCCGTGCCCAGCAAGGCCAAAACACGGCGGGAAGGAAGGGAAAAATCTGCAAGTCTGTTTCCTAAAGGCTCTGGGAAAAAATGCTGCGTTACCGGGGGCACAGCCAAAACCAACAGGCCTTGGCAGCCCCACGCAGCCCCGGGCCAGGCAGCCCAGACAGCTCCTGCAGGATGTGGGATGAGGACAGACAGGCAGGGCAGGGGGTCTCCGCAGCGGACCCCATGCCGAGCACTCGTGGGGATGTCTCTGGAGAGGGGCAGCTGGAGGGGCCCATCCACAAAGGGCATTCCTCACTGTGGGACACCAGCAGAGCACCCATGGAACAGCTACACGAGGAGGGAATGGAGCTGGGATCTGGCCATCAAGGTGGACAGGGACAGACACCACTCCAGCCCCCTCTGCCCCTTGGGGAGCTCTGGGTGACCCCACATGGGCACACGGGGCCAGAATAGCCCATGGACTATCCCGTGGCAGGATGCTGCTCCCTAGCTCCAGAGGACGTGGTCCTGAGCACAGCTCACAGCATGGGCAAATGGGGATGTGGCAGTATCCAGAGCCACTAACGGACCAGCTCCATGGGCCTGGTCTCCACACTCAGCCTGCAGGAGCAGCTCCATTCCCACTAAAAAGCCACAGCGTGACCTGCTCCCAGCCACAGGATCACCAGCCCACGATCACCAGCAGGAGGGTCCTGGGGCAGACACGCAGAGGCAGCTTCTTTGCCCTGGCCCTGCCTCCATCCCACTGCCCTGTCCGGCTGTGGGAAGGACACAGCCCTCAGCAAAGCCCCGGCAGAGCACAGCCTGACCTGCCTGGGAGGGAAGCAGGTGCCCTGAAGCCTCTTTCCTGTTTCCTCCCGGCAGAGCTGTGGACAACATCCCTGGGAAAGGGTCACCGTGCAGCAGGAGCCTCCCAGACAGCTGGGACCTGTCCCAGGGACCACGGGTGCTGCCCTGATGTCCAGGGGCACGCTGCAGCCAGGGCACAGCGGGTGACAGGTCCCTGGGAAGCACCTTGCTCCCTCAGAGGCCATGGCACGGCTGCGCTCATGCTGGGTAAGGATGGCACAGACATGACCCACTGGTACCCAGCTGTGGGACCTCATGGAGCTCAGCACCACTGGGAGACGCTCCCTGTATGCCCATGCCAAGGCTGCCCCATCCCATCCTGCCACAGGGTCCCTGCTGAGCCCCCCGGCACCATGGCCCCAACTCTTGCCAAGTGAGTGGAGCGCGGCCTGGGGCACACAGGGGTTGCCTGGGGGCTGCCACCAGGCATGCGAGGGGCAGGGACCCCCCCCCGGCACCCACCCCTCGCCCCGGGGCCGGCCTTACCTGGGGGCTGCAGGCTCTCCTGGATGGCCTCGACGTCGGCCAGGTCGGTGCAGATGCCCTGGCCGTGCATGAGGGTGTGCAGGGGCCGCGGCACGCCGCGGGGGGGGTAGCAGCGCAGCCCGGCGCCGCAGCGGGCGGTGTAGACCCCGCAGGCGGTGCCGCGGCCGAGGGCGCAGGTCGCGCAGCACCCGCAGCCCGGCTCCCGCACCAGCTCCGCGCAGCCCTGCGGTGCCTTGCAGCGCGCCAGCCGCTCCTCGGAGCACGGCGGGCACTGGATCGCCTCCTCGCCGCCGCCCAGCCCCGCCGCCGCCGCCGCCAGCAGCAGCAGCACCGGTAGCACCGGTGGCACCGGCGGTAGCGGGCACCCGGCGGCCCCGCGCATGGCGGCCCCGCGCCCGCGCTCCGGCCCGCGGCTGGCGGCGCTCGGCTGGCGGCGGAGGCTTTATGCGGCCCCTGGCCACACCTCCCGCCGCCGGCACCGGGGCCACCGGCGGGGCCGCCCTCGCTGACACCGGGAAGCCACCGGGGAGAACCGATCCCAGCCGACGGCGGCGGCAGCACCGGGGAGGGCGGCGGCAGCACCGGCACCGCCGGCGGGACAGCTCCGGCTCCGCGCAGCGCGGAGACCCCCGGCCCTGCGCCCCCCTTCCCCGCCGCCCACCCGCCGCCCCCTCCAGCAGCCCCGAAACCCGCCCTGGCCCGAGAGCAGCGGGGGTGAACTGGGAGGGGGGACGCGGACACCACACGAAGCTGCTTCTCGGGGGCTGCGGCCAAGACCTCCCGCATGGGGCAGCCCGGGGTGGGCTCCGGGCCGCGGGCACGGGGGTCCCGGCGGCAGCGGCATCGCTCTGGGGACGGCTCAGCTCCATCTGCCCGGAACGCCCCGGGGAGGCCCCGCCGGCTCCCCCCGCACCCGGCCCCGCACCCGGCGGCTCCCCGCGCCCCGCACGGCCCCGGGATAAGTTGAAAGCTGCCGGCACCTAGCGGCTATTCGGGAAAACCGGGAGGGAGCCGGAATCCCTCCCCGCGGGCCGGCCCCGCCGGTACCCGCAGCGCCCTGCCCGGGGGGACCCGCCTGGGTGCGGTAGCGGGGTTCTGCGGGTGGGATGAGCTCCGGTACAAGCGCAGCCTCGCTGCCCTCTGTGAATGGCCGTGGCACCCACGCAGGCTTTGCACAAGCTGTCCCCAGCACGCCCAGCTCGCTGCGGGGGTGCAAGGACACAGAGAGCCCTCCTCCCCACCCTAGGGACAGGATGAGCTGCGAGCAAGGGTAAAGCAGAGACTTGCTGAACTCATGCCATGGGATGAGGAGCTGAGCACTGCAGGGAGCTTTGTCCTGCAGACTCAGGGACACACTGGCTCAGCAGCACTTGGGTGCTGGCCGTGTCACCACACTGGCCCTGGACAATGCCAGCAAAAACGCCACCCTGTGCCACACAAAGTAATGAAATGACCACAACCACCCCAGCCATCCCCACCAACAGCAACAGTGGGGAGATGGTGCATCCTGTCAGGAAGATGGCCTTCACCGTCTGGGACAAGGGAACCAGCCCAGCCCAGCTGTAGGGCAAGCACAACGAGCAGGGAACAACCACATCCCACCAAAGACCTGGCTGAATAGCAGGTTTGCTGGGGCTTGTGACTGTGCCCTGCACCACGTACATGGTGATTAACAGTCATTAAATACCCAGACACTGGGTCTTGCTGCAGGCCCCTGGTGTGGGGCTCGGTGTAGTGAGTGGGATGAGAGGATTAGGGCTCAGGCTGAGAACCCTGAACTCATCTCATCCAGTGCTCAAGCTGGTATCTTGAGGCTGGAGTGCCAGCACTGGTGGCACTGGCTGCAAGAGCTCCCAGGACCATCTCTCTCCTGTGCAGATGAGTCGGGAAGCACCAAGTGTACCAGCAGGACACAGGCAGGCAGGGTCTGTGTCCCCTAAGCCTCCCAGCCCCAGTTTTCCTCTCCCATCTGCCACAGGGGCCCTGCAAGGCATCAGCACCGGGTGCCACTCCGGAGCCCCTGTCCTGCCTGGCACTGCTGCAGTGGCCATGACTCGGAGCAGAGACACCAGCCTTGACACAGTGTCCAAGCAGGGACCAAACCCAAACATGCGCCCAGCCCCGCGGCACTTTATCAGGCCTTGGCAGCGCCGAGCGCCCGCTGCGGAGACTGTTGTGTCTGCAGCGTGTGCAGGAGACAGGGATGCTCTCGCTGTGCTCCTCCAGGTCCCCAGCACCATCCTGCCAAAGAGAGGGGGGCTGAGCTGGGGCACCCACAGCCATGCTGCCCCCCTCCCTGTTCACAGCCCTGCAGCCAAGGAGAGTGCCCGGTGGTTGATGCCCAGTGCACAGAGCTCAGTGCATGGTGCTTGGTGCAACCCAGCTCCCCCTGTCCCTGGTCTTGGAGCTCCCAGCACAGCTTCCCTGCCTCAGTGGCTCTTTGGGGTCCCCAAGGCTGCTGGGGCCCAGCCTGGCTGCTACCTCCCTGCCACTTGCCCCAGCATGGTCTGGAGCCTGGGGAGAGGCTGCAGGTTAGCACAAGGCAGTGGCAGAAGGGGGTCTGGGAGTCAGAGAGGGCTGAATACCCCCAGATGAGGTGGCCCTGATGGAGCCACCAACACACAGGGCTCTTTGCACCCACTGTGGACACGATGACTGCACACACCACAGGGCACAGGTATCACGTATGCTGCAGGACATCCACAACCCCCCTGTCCCCAAGGCTCAGCCCCACTGACCCCCAAATCCCCTGAGTCCCGAGTCCCCTCCTGGCACCAGCACCAGCAGTCCCTGTAGAGCACCCGACTGCTCGCCACGGTCAATGCCCCTTGCTCTCAGCCAGCCCCCTCCTCGCTGGTTTTACTCCCCATTTCCAGGCAGCATCTCCTCCCCAGCCCGCCCTCGCCTTGGTTCCATCAGCTCCTCCCGGCCCTGGCTCCCTTCCCCGTGGTTCCCGGCTGCCCCCTCTCACTCTTGGACAGTGACCCGGCCATGTTGGTGCTGAGCCCCCTCCGGATGCGGCCCGTAGGTGCGGGTGCCGGGGCGGGCAAGGGGCGTGTCGGGCCGCGGGGGGGGCGCCGTGATAACTGCGGGTGTCGGGAGCAGACAGCACAGGCGAGCGGGATGAGCCCAGGACCCCCAGCCTGGGCAGCCCGGCCCCGAGGCAGCGGCATGGGGTCCGGCAGCCCCCAGCACCTACTCCCCGTGCTCTGCATCCTCTGGGTGCTGGCCGGACGCCTGCCCTCTGCCACGGCCCAGTGGTTTTATCCCCTGGGCTTGGACGACACCACCCCGGACCCAGGCACCAGCCCTACAGCGCCCATCCTGGATGGGGAGGAAGGTAGGTATGGAGGGACAGGGCATGGCTTCCCTGCATCCCTGGCTCCTGCACCCCAGCAAACAAGGGAACCTCTGGCATAAGGCTGGAGGGTGAGGTGTGGGGTGCTGGGGTCCGGGGCTGCTGTGGCTGCCCCACCACTTCCCACCCCATCACCCCTTTGCTCCTGCAGACAGAGATGCCGTGGAGCCCACTAGGAAGATGCTGCTGAGCAAACCCCCGCTGGCAACAGCCCCCAGACGTCGGGACCCCCTCGCCAGGGGCGCGGGGAAGGGTCTGGGCCATGCCCCACCACGCACACGAGGCCAGGTGCCTTTCCCCGGACAGGGAGTCCGTCCTCCCCCCAGCTTCTCCAGCTCTCCCGACCCCCCCCAGCCGCTGCAGGGCTCCTTGCCCTGTCCTTCCCCTTATCCGTGCCCTGCAGCACACACAGCCCAGGCAGGGCAACGCGCCCTGCTCCGGCCGTGGCTCAGCCTCCTCTATCCCATGGGAAGGAGCTGTGGCAGCTCCCGGTGTCCCCACACATGGCCGAGCCCCACAGCAGAGATGTGCTGAGCCCCCACCCGCTCCCCAGGCAGCCACGGCTGTGGAGGGGTCCTTCATGCCCCCAAGCCCCACACTGAGCACTCCCTGTCCATCCATCCCCGCAGCAGCGACCCACAGTCGCCCCGGAGATCTTCGAGGGGAGCGCAGAGGAAGAGGAGTTCCTGCAGATCAAGGTGGTGGAGGGCCCTGAGCCCCAGGGGGGCTGCCAATGACAGCCCGGGATGTGCCCCCGGGTGGGGGGCTCTGGGGGATGTGGGCTGGCAGGGCAGGATGGGGACGGTGCTGCAGGGGATGGGGCCGGTGCCCAGGGGTCTCAGGACTCAGCCCCTTGTCTCCTCCACACAGACAACAGCAAAGGGGCTGCCCCGGCGGGTGCCCCCAGCCCCAGAGGTGGATCCAGCTGTGCAGGTAAGCGGGGCTCAGGGCACCCACCCCGCAGCCTGCAGCCGGGCTCCCAGCCCGCACCTCACCGCGCTCTCCCTCTCCAGATGCACAACGGCTCCGGCTGCGTCTGCCCCGTGCGCCCCGGCCCTCCCGGCCCCCCCGGCCCCAAGGTGCGGTGATCCTCCCCGGGGACACACGGGGGCACAGGGACCCATAGGGACACACAGGGGCACAGAGATCCATAGGGACACACGGGGGCACAGAGATCCATAGGGACACACGGGGGCACAGAGATCCATAGGGACACACGGGGGCACAGGGACCCATAGGGACACACCGGGAGGAATCCTGAGGCTCTTTTGGCCGTGCACAGTTTTCCACTCGTATTTGGACTCTTGCCTCGGGGTCTGGGTGGGGGACAGAGCGGGTGGTCCCTGGCAAGGGGCAGCAGGTCCCCGCGATGGGCACTGATGGAGGAGAGCACCAGGAGCCGGAGCCAGGCTCTATCTTTTCCAAACAGGGAGAGAAAGGCGACCGAGGATCCCCGGGGGAGAGAGGCCAGCCAGGGCTCTCTGGGGAGAGAGGGAAGTCGGGCAGCCCAGGGCAGCCGGGTCACCAGGGACCCCGGGGTCCCCCAGGTCCTCCGGGACCCCCGGGACCCCCAGGCACCTGGGGAGCCAGGAGCCAGCCTGCACCCGCCGCCCTTCCCAAGGGATCCGAGAACGAGGTGAGTGCTCGGGTAGGCTGATTCCAGGGCGGGGGGGCTGACAGTGGTGTCAATGCCCGGGAGGGATGGGGAGCATGGCTGTGGGCAGCCCAGGGGATGGGAGCAGCAGATGGGAATAGGGGATGGGATGCTGCCATTCACTAACTCCACTCTCTCTTTCTCCCTCCAACCCAACAAGCATCTGGGAGCATCCAGCCCGGTGGGAAACCCGGGACCCCCAGGTCCCCCAGGGCTGCCCGGACCCCCAGGCTACCCAGGCCACGAAGGCCCCCCAGGGGTCCCTGGGCGGGATGGGCAGCCAGGACCCCCCGGCCCACCTGGGGCTGTGGGACCCCCTGGTTTCCCTGGGGCTGAAGGACCTCCGGGATCTCCAGGCTTGGCTGGGACAGATGGATCCCCGGGGGCACCGGGGCTCCCAGGGCCCCAGGGTCCCCCCGGGGTGCCTGGGCACGAAGGCCCCCCCGGCCCCACAGGACCTACATCCCTCCCTGGCAAACCAGGGCTCCGAGGGGAGCCGGGATCCCCTGGACTAAAGGTAAGTGGGTCCCAGCCCCAGCCTGTCCATGGTCCTGCAGGAGCTCAGAGCCAGCGAAATGGGGATGGACCATGAGCCCCTTGCTCTGCCCCAGCCCTGCTGCTATGGATCTGGGGTGCTAAGCCCCCACACTCACTACCCCATGTATGCTGGCAGGGCGAGAAGGGCGAATATGGACTGCCGGGCATGCCAGGGAACCCTGGCCGCACCGGAGAGACCGGTGCCCCGGGCATGCCAGGGCCCATGGGACCACCAGGGCCACCGGGGGACTACAGGGTGAGTAGGGGGTAGGTCCCGGGGCTGCAGGTGCTCGGGGACCTGCCCCATGCTCACCCCCGGCACATCCTCTCCTTCCAGTGCGACCTGCGCCACGCAGGGCACCATGGATCAGCCGGACCACCAGGCCCCAAGGTGAGCCAGGGCACCGCGGGTGGAGGTGTTGGCACCAGGGGCATGGGGACAGCATCGGCCGCGCTGCTCCCCGGTGCTGGTGTCAAAACCAAACAGTTCCATGGCGGGTGTTGCCCGGTGGAGTGAGGCACAGCGCTGAGCAGGGGGGCTGGGACTGTACCCCCGGAGCTGGGCACCAACGGGACCTCTCTGCTTTCCTTCCAGGGAGAAAAGGGTGACCCCGGAGAGCGGGTTAGTAGCCACGAGCACTGGTGCAGGGGGTGGGTCCCATCCCTGCAACCTGAATGTGAACCCCTGAGCCACAAGAGCTGCCTCCGTTCCCCACTGCCCTCTCCTTGGGCAGCACCAACCTTCACTCACCCAGTGGCATCACTGGGGTCTCCAGACGGGCTGGGGCACGGGAAGGGGGGACTGGAGAGTCACACTATCCCTGTGGTACCTGCAATGCACATGTGTGCACAGCCATGCAAGCATGCAGTTCCCCCATGCACACACACAGCATCCCCGTCACCCAGCACAGGATATAATCGTGCCTTTTCTGTGTCTCACCCAGGGGTGCTGCTATGGGGAACATGGGTGCAAACCAGGCCACCCCCCCTTCCCCAGCACCGGCAGCCAGGCCGGCTCCTGGGTGCCCATCAATGGGTACCAGACGGTGAGTCCTCAGGGATCACGGGGATCATGGCAAGGGGTGCCCAGGAGGCTCTGTGTGCCCCACTGGCAGGTCCCCAGGGCTCACAGCCCCAGCTGGTTTGGAGGGATGGAGGATGGAGAGAGGGAGGATGGAGATCATCTCAATCTTCTCTCTTTTTCTGCAGGGCAGCAAAGAGGAGACGGAGATTTACGGAGCAATCATTCCCCATGTGAGAGACACTGTCTGGCTCCTATCTGTGTGCTGCCCCAGCCCAGGGGGGGTTCAGCCCTGGGAGGGGAAGGGAGTGGGAAGGATGAGGGACAGCAATGGGGTGTCTTATAGCTGCCCCCCCAAAAGGCAGCACCAAAATAGCCCAGCCCAACCTCCACACTGATCTGCTGCAGGGTCTTCGAGGTCCCCCTGGGAACCCCGGCCCCCCCGGGCCCCCTGGTCCCCCCGGAGCACCAGGACTCCTCTACCTCAATGTAAGGTGCAGCAGTGGCTGTGCACGTGCCTGTGCCAGAGCACACACATGTGTGAGCACGCGCAGCACGAGGGGCTCCCCACAAACCCACCTCTCTTTGCTTCCAGAGGGTTTACCCCATCCGTGCCCAGCAGCCCTGCAAGCAGCCGGTAAGCCACAGACTTACTGTCCCCAGGAGAGACCCCGTCCCCTCCCCATGCACCAGGAAGGGTGTCCTGGTGCCCAGCAGCAGTAACGGGCCCCGCTTGCCTCCGCAGGCAGCCTCGGATGCGGGCTGGACAGAAGGTGAGGCCATTTCTCAGGTGTTTCCAGTGCTCCATCTTCCTTGGAACCACCTTTTATCAACTCTGGACTCCTTTTCCGGCATCCCCAGTGCTGCAGCTGGCTCTCCCACCCCGCTCCCAGTACCAGCATCCCTGCAGAGAGCACCCCAGCCCCTGCACCGGGATGCTTTATAACCCCCAACCCTCTTCAGGTGCCGACGTCCCTCGGACGGAGCCTCTGGACTCCCGTGTCGATCTCCAGGTTGGTCCTCACCATGGCCATAGTCGAGCACCCCCCAAGCTGTCCGGCTGCCCCACGCACAGCAGCTGGGCCGTGCCCCTGAGCCATGAACCTCTCCATCCCCCAGCGCCAGATGTGGGTCTTCAGGACCAAGGAGCTGATGCTGAAGTCAGGCAGCGCCGTGCCCGAGGGGAGCTTGGTCTACGTGCGGGAAGGGAGCAGCGCTTTCCTCCGGACCCCCACTGGCTGGAGCCGCCTCCTGGTACCGAGCACACCCCTTGGGGTCCCTCATAGGGTTGGGGGAGCAGGATCCAGCCCTGGCAGCTGGATTTGTCACTGGGGCAGCAGAGCCCTGGGATGGAGCTGGTTCCTCCCTAACCCATGGCTCTGCTCTTTGCTTTGAGCAGCTGGAGGATTCGAAGTCCCTCTTTGCTGGTGATGACCCCTCTGCTTCCACCCCTCGGTACCAGGTGAGGGCTGTGGGTACCCATCGAGGGGACAGAGCCCTCCTTTGTTGGCCAGGGGGCAGACAGGCTCCTGTGGGACTGTCCTCTCCTTTCCATTCAGGAGGCAAAGCGGGTGCAGACAAAAGGTCCTGACACGGCACTGCCTGCGCTGACCCTAATGGACTCACTGGTGAGCCCTGCAGCATGTCTTTGTGCCATGGGGTTGGGGTATCTGCAGGGCAGCGTACACGCAGAGCCTGGGGTCATGTTGGGCTGCACCCATGGCAGAGGGATGGATGTCCCTGGGCTGACCTGAGCTGTGTTATTGCAGGTCCAGAAGGAAGGGGGACAAGAGATGCCCCAGACCCTGCCCACCACCATCGCCCCACGGATCCCATCAGTAAGCAGTGCCCAGCTCTGGGCAGAGGTGCTGAGGGGACCTTTCCATGCCCAGGCAGCCCCTCACAGCTTCTTGGGAAGGGAGAGCAGAGACCTCAAATCCCAGCCATGCCCAAGCCTCCCTGCTTTCCCCCCAGCTCCGCCTGGCCGCGCTGAACGTGCCCCTCACCGGTGACATGAGCGGGCTCCGCGGTGCCGACCTGCAGTGCTACCGGCAGTCCCAGGAGGCTCAGCTCTACGGCACTTTCCGGGCGTTCCTGTCAGCCCCTACCCAGGACTTAGTCTCCATCGTTAAGAGGACGGACAGGAACCTCCCTATCGTCAACCTGAAGGCAGGTACCCCTGTCCCCCGCGGGGCTGCTGCACCCTGGCCGTGCTCAGCACTTGTGTTATGGGGAGCTCGGAGGGTTGCCCACACGTGGCATCGCCTTAACCCCTGGCCCCCAGCTCAGTGCCACTGCTTGTGCCCACAGGGGCAGCTCCTGGCCAAGTCCTGGACCTCCCTCTTTGAGGGGCAGACCAGCGCCGCGCTGCGGGGCCCCATCTACTCCTTCAATGGGGGCAATGTCCTGACCGATCCTCTCTGGTGAGTCTGGTGGGCACCAGCAGAGTAACCCTGAATGAACGCACCCACACTGGGGTGGGGGGGGTCTGCACTGGTCCCCCTGCTCCCAATGCTTGCACAGATGCAAAGACCTGGAGGGGGTCCCCCCAGCCCTTCTCACCCCCATCCCCATCCGCAGGCCCCGGCCGCTGGCCTGGCACGGATCCACGCCGCGGGGCAGCCAAGCCCGCAAGCGGGATTGCCAGGGCTGGCGCAGCTCCGGCACCGGGCAGGGCCTGGCCGCTGCGCTGGGCGAGGGCAGGCTCCTGGCTGGGCAGCGGCACAACTGCTCCGAGGCGCTGGTGGTGCTCTGCGTGGAGGTGGCCTTTCCCTATCAGCACATGTGGTGACGCCGGCGCCGTGGCACCGGTGATCTCCGGCTGCACGCTCCAGGCGGCTTCCCCTGTCCTGCGGGTGAGGATATGGGGTGGTGCAGGGGGGGGGAGAAGTGCAGCGCTGGAGCCAGGTGAGAGCATCGAGAGGATGCCAAGCGTGCAGCCGGGCTCATCGCAGGTTGTGCCAACCCCATGCATCCCTGGTCTGTGCCCAGCTGCATCCCTGCAGCTCCAGTAAAGGGAATGCTGCCACTGCCATGGAAATAAAGATGCAAACCGCTGAGGTTTGGATGATGCCCAGCATTACTGGAGTGGGGGAGCTTACCCAGGACATCGCCTGCTGCAGCGAGGGGCAATGGGGGTCACGCTGCAGCCAGCTTGGGGAAGAGGGAGAGGGTCTGGAGCCACCCGTGGGCTTTGGGACCAGCACAAATGGGGGGACAGGGACACCATAGGGACGCTGAAGCCATGGAACGGGGCTCCAGTGACACCAGCACTGCTGGGTACACACATGGGGCACAGCACCGGTGCCTGTCCCAGAGGCAGCGCGGTGCTCTCAGGGCGTGCCCAGTGGGGCCCAGTATGGTCCCAGTATGGTCCCAGTAGGTCCCAGTATGGTCCCAGTGGGTCCCAGTGTGGTCCCAGTATGGTCCCAGTGTGGTCCCAGTATGGTCCCAGTATGGTCCCAGTGGGTCCCAGTATGGTCCCAGTGGGTCCCAGTATGGTCCCAGTGCGGCACCAGCGCCTGCCCAGCGCGCCAACAGCGTCCGGGCAGGCAGAGCCTCCAGCATCAACGCCCTCCTATTGGCAGATTCCCCTGCCCATCCCTCAACTCTCCCTTCTGAGTGGCTGGTTTGAACGCGCTGCTCGTTTCTGACTGGCCAGAGGGGACAAGCTGGGGCACCGCCCATGTCACCGCCTTCCCGCCGCGATTGGCGGCGCGCAGGGGAGCCGCGGGCGCTGATTGGCGGAGGCTTTCGGCGGGCTTAAACGGAGCTTTGAAAGCCCGCGGGCCGTTGGGGCCGCCATCGCCGCCGCTCAGCCGCGCGCTGCCGCCATCATGGAGCTCCAGGAGCACCCGGCCCCCCTCAGGGTGCGTGGGGCGCCCCGAGGCCCCCTCCCGCTCCGGGGAGCCCCTTCCCCTCACTCCCGCTTCCTCCGCGCTTCCCTCCGCTCCCCCGGGCCCCCTCTTGGTCTCTCCCCGCCCCCGGTCCTCTCAGGTCCCCCGGGTCCTTCCCCTCCGTGCCGCGGTCCCCCCCCACCTGGGCCCACTCCGTTCCCCGTCCCCGACCTGATCCCCCCCGGACCCCGCTGCCCCTCACCGCCGCTCTGTGTCCCCCGAGCAGCCCGCGGACGGGAACCTCCGCGTGCACAAGGGCGATGGCGTCAAGAAGACGCTTTCGGTGGAGCACATCTACCAGAAGAAGACGCAGCTGGAGCACATCCTGCTCCGGCCCGACACCTACATCGGCTCCGTGGAGATGGTCACCCAGGTGCGGGGTTGGGGCTAAGCCGCCCGAGCTCCTCGGTGCCAGGCGGGAAGGCATCGCTATCTGCTTGGTTTATACAGCACAAAACGCCTGCTTTGCAGGCCCAGGGCACACAGGTGGAGGCGTTCCCAAGGACTCATGTGGGTTTTGCTTTTTTTTTTTCAGCAAATGTGGGTTTTTGATGAAGACGTGGGCCTCAACTGCAGAGACGTGACCTTTGTGCCTGGCTTGTACAAGATCTTTGACGAGATTCTAGGTAAGGAGACCTGCCTGTTGAGTCAGTGGTTGATGGTTGATTAATGGGTGCTGAATGTCTAATAAACAGCTAAGAAATGCAAATCTACTTTTATCTGGTTGCCTTGTTGAGCACCTAATGTCTGCAGCACAGTTTGATGGATGGTGGTTGCAGGGTGTGTGGTTTGTGCTTGGAGATACTGGATACTGAAGTCCTTCCATTAGTTATTAGGAAGCTGTTTCGTGGGATGATGGCACGCTGACAAAACTGATGTAATTCAGCCCAGACTTCTCATTTTTATGTTAACTTGTACTCATCTTTAGCTTGCAACATACTTGCATGCCAAGGTGGTTGTTAATAACATTGTATTGAGTTTTTGCATTCATTCTGCTGAAGACACTTTATCAGTTAGTAGCTTTGTCTTGCTTGACAATGCAATATAATAACAACAATCTTTCCATTCTAGTCAATGCTGCAGACAACAAGCAGAGGGATAAAAACATGACATGCATTAAAGTTACAATTGACGTGTAAGTTTTGCTTTGTTTCTGTTCATTGCTTTCCCAACATGAGTACATTGTATTTTCTCACATGGATACTGTTTAAGCTGGTGTGGTGGTGGTGGTGGTGGTGGTCTCTGCTGTGAGGTCAATCCAAAGTAGACTAGTAATTTAACTCTGGTGAAAAGCTATTTTCTTTGCCTTGGTCTCTTAGAGTGCTGGCTTGTGAAATGACTGCTTTGTGGCTGTTTTCTATTGTGGCCATTCTCTGCCTCTCAACCTTTGTATTCTGTCACCAAGCACAAATGGAGGATTTCCGTGTGTGGTGGTCCATTTCATAAACTCTTTGGAGCTGAGTTTTTTGGTTGACTTGTTCTCCCTCTGCTGGCAGTTTCTGCACTTGCTCAGCAGAGGTTTGCTTTTGATGAAATGGTGGCCTTTCCCCAGAGCTTTTGTGTGACACTTGTTTCATAGCTCAGTCATTTGCAGCCTCAAAAACACCCTTTTTCCTTTACCTAGAGAGAATAACACGATCAGCGTATGGAACAATGGGAAAGGTATTCCAGTTGTTGAACACAAAGTGGAGAAGGTCTATGTGCCTGCTCTTATCTTTGGACAGCTGCTAACATCCAGCAACTATGATGACAATGAAAAGAAAGTCACAGGTAGGGAAGACTCAAATAGATGAGCAGCCTGATGGATGAAAGTGTGTAAACCAAAATAACATTGGGAAGGGTGCCCTTGATGCAACTGAAAATGAAGTTTGGAGTCCACCAGAGAGATACCTTCATGCTCTATATTAATAACAGTGCAAACGTGGAAAATTCTCTTTGAATGCTAATTGTAATTAAATATGGGTTTATAGTTACATACTGAGTTTGTAGGATATTGTTGCTTATTGCCTGTTGTTCTTTGCGCTGAAGTGGCTGAACTCCTGTTAGTCTGGAATTCTTTCAGGCGGTTTTGACCAAAGGTAATAACATGAGTCTGTTTTCCCTCTAATTCCAGGTGGGCGAAATGGTTATGGAGCCAAACTGTGCAACATATTTAGCACAAAATTTACTGTGGAAACAGCCTGTCGTGAATACAAAAAGCTGTTCAGACAGGTATGAACCCTTCTTATTTCAGTAAGATTATACCCAAGAGTTTCCATTAAGACCCTAATTTTTTGTTTCAAAAATCCAGGTGTAACTTGCATTCAGAGCATTGTGACTAGAATAAGTTTAGCCCACAGTTACTGTACCACACAGTAAAATTCAAATGAATAATGAAATGAGCAGACATAACCAGAATCTAATTTTTAACCAGTAGGGACTTTTTTAGTTGAAAGTATCTAAAACTTGCAAATTGGCTTTCTGCTTTTAAAAACCAAGCTCTAGTGGCTCGTGTGTGTTAGACTTGCTACTTACAAAACCTCCTTTTCTCAGACTTGGACCGACAACATGGGGAAGGCTGGTGAAATGAAACTGAAGTATTTTGATGGAGAAGATTACACGTGTGTCACCTTCCAACCTGATCTGTCAAAATTCAAGATGACAATCCTTGATAAAGACATTGTAGCACTGATGTCTCGAAGAGCGTATGATATTGCTGGATCCACAAAGGATGTCAAAGTTTTCCTAAATGGACAGAGGCTGCCTGTAAGTGAGCATTTAGCAGAAATGGTAACATCTGCATTTCTCATGCCATTTAAACAGTGAGGTTTTGTTGAAGCAATTTATGTCATTACACGCAGTAAGTGGAAAATGTGCCTGAGTGGTTTCTCTACCCACTTTTCAGGAGGATATGAATTAAGTATTTATAGGAGCTGTTATAAAGGAGTTGTCTGCTTATATCTGTGTGCAGGTAAAAGGATTCCGCAGTTATGTGGACCTCTATCTGAAGGACAAAGTAGATGAAACCGGTAACACACTTAAGGTTGTCCATGAGGAAGTAAATTCTCGGTGGGAAGTGTGTTTGACTTTAAGTGAAAAAGGCTTCCAGCAAGTTAGCTTTGTCAACAGCATTGCCACTACAAAGGTAACTCTTTGTTTTTTTCAGTCAAGCTAATGCCATGTTCTTTGTCATTAGCTGTTTCAAATGTTAGTGAACAAGACATTGCTGCTTCATGTTACATAGGCTATGCATAAAGTTTGAAATCGATTTCTTTTTTTAAATGGAATTACCATCAAGTCTCTGGTCCCGTTTTCCCTTAGGGTGGCAGGCACGTTGATTACATAGCTGACCAGCTTGTGACTAAAGTCATTGAAGTTGTGAAAAAGAAGAACAAGAACGGAGTTGGAGTGAAGCCTTTTCAGGTACAGTGTCGCCAGTGGGAAGCACAACTCTAGCATTATTGCACATTGTAACTACAGCTTAATGCATTACCACATTAATTAATACATATTTCCACTGTACAGACAATATATAGAAAAATGTGCTAATTATAGAAGTGTTGTCCAGTTTAAGACAACTAACAATCTTCTCTTTGTTTGACTGATGTGTTTTGTAATCAGAACACCATAAGTCAGTGTATCTGCACTAAAACTCAGTATCTGTTAGGTGATCGCTATTAGGCTGATCGCTGTTGGTTCCCTGACATCCCAAATCATAAAGTATTGTTCAGGAAAGTTCATTAGCTGTCCTAAATTCTTTCAGCACATCTAGGAAAATTCCAAACCGTACAGTGATAACAGCTTTTCCTCACTGTGTGGTTCTGACAGGCAGCTGTCAGAATGCACTGGCTACTGTTACTGAGAGGTGCCCGTGTAACCTGTGGTGCTTGTTGTGTTTAACCCCAGGTGAAGAATCACATGTGGATTTTCGTGAATGCCTTAATTGAAAACCCAACTTTTGACTCTCAGACTAAGGAGAACATGACTCTGCAGGCAAAGAACTTTGGCTCAACCTGTAAACTGAGTGAAAAATTTATTAAGGGTGTAAGTATTGGTATACACAATCAAGATGTCTGTAAACTCCATTTTACGTTTAACGTGGCAAATACATGCTTCTGAAGTAGTGTCATG